CCTAGAGACCTCCGCTCCTAGACTGGAGAATTAATCACTCCCTTCCTTGCTACAAAATGTCTACCCTTACATTTCCAACCCTCACAATCAGTCTTGGTAACAATTACTCACTGTAGTAGCACAGGTGACCCATCTGCATTTCATTTCATCAGCTCCGCCTAGACAGATTGGATAGTACTCACTGAAGATTCTGCCTTCCTCCATGCCCCCTAGCTCTAGGTTCCCTCTTGAAAGCTTATAAGCCAGTCACTTCTTGCCTTTGTAGGTCCTCACAGCACAGTGGTTAAGTGGTCAGTTCGAATCCACCAGTCATTCAGTGGGAGAAAGATGTAGCAGTCTGCTTCTATAAAAATTACAACTGTGGGAATTCCATGAGGGCACTTCTAGTCTTCCCTAAAGAGTTGCTATGAGTCCAAATAGACTCCACTGCATTAAGTATAACTTCCTTTGTCTTGTCCGATTATGCTGAGTGGTGCCTCCAATCCAACTAATCATACTGACTATGGACAGCATCCTTCTCTTGTTCTTAATGTTATTGGGAAGGTCTCTAATATCCCCACTAAATATCAGGCTGGGCTTTCGACTGAGGTAGATTTATTTATTGATTGTAAATTGGGTGACAGTTTACAAGGGAGAACATTATCTTTCCATTTATCCTATCGTATTTTGTTTCATTGCAATGATTACAATTCCATGCATGCATCATCAAACAACCTAAGGGTACACTCCGCACGCTGCCCACCGGCCACCAGCACACAGTCCCTCTCCCTCCCTGAGTCTAGAGTCCCCAGTCGCTCCTTCTCTCCATGTCATCGTCACTACCTCCATCCCTGGCATCACTGCTTCTTTGGATACGGTCCTGCACTTTGCTTTTCTCCCTTGATGGTTCCAGGGATCTCTGCTCCTGGACTGTAAAATCAACCACTCCCCTCCTTTTGTTACAAAAAGTCTACCTTTACCTTTCCAACATTCACAGTCAGTCCTGATAGCAATCATTCCCTATTGAACCACAGGAGTCTTATCCCCATCACCTTTTATCAGTCCCATCCAGAGAGGTTGGAAACAACTCAGTGGAGATTCTACCTTTCCCCGTACCCTCTGAAACTAGGTTCCCTATTGAAAGCTTGTAAGCCAGTCACTTAGTGCCTTTATAGTGCCCGCCACCCCCATTTTGGGTAGCTAATGTCTAAGATACCCATCCTTGTTGACCCCTGTATACCAAGGGGGTGGAAATGATCCTCACTGTAAAGATTTGTTCACTCCTTTGTCCTACTGCACCCACAAGCATAGGTCAAATTGTTGTGGATTACTTTTTTTAACCTCTTCTTTCTTCCTCTAGTAATGTTCTGATCATCCAGCCATTGAAGCCAGGTCAAATGGGTACTATCTGCAAGTGTAGGTGTTCTTGTGCATCTCCTTTCACTTCATATCAGCTGGGCACTTCACATTCTGCTCTAGTCCTCTGGGACCATGTCCCTGTCCCTGGGTCGAGGAGTCCCCAGGTCTCGTCATACTGCTGGTTAGCCAGGTCTCAATCCAGGTTCACAGGAGTCTACTGAATGTGGTTGGACTTAGCGCACAACTTTTTTGCTGTTTTATCCCCACTTCCCCTTATTGGTGACCAACATGGTCAGCAGCAAGACCATGCCTGATTGTGTATTCACCTTGAGTTTTAGTCTTGGAAAGAGGTTTGTCTTGAGGGCACCTGACCACTTGCCTTGATGGCTACCAGGGTAGATTTATTTTTATCATACTAAAAGAAGAATCGACTTCTATTTCTTTGAGTGCTTTATAAAGAATACTGTTAATTTTTTTTTTTTTAAATCAAATGTCTTTTCAGCACATATGAAAAAAATGCTTTTTTTCCTTGGACCTACTAATAAGACGAGGTATAACAATAGCTTTCTTAATATTGACCCATTCTTACAGTTCTGGAAAAAAACATATTTGGCTAATTACTTGTTTACTGTGCTCTTCTGGATTGTTTGCTTTTCTTTCCCTCCCTTCCTATCTTTAAGATCTTATTTACAATGTCTAAGTATCTTTTCTCCCCATCTCTTAGATCTTCTTCATGACTTCTGCATGGTTATAAGGAGAATTAAGCTAGTTTCACCTTTTATAATCATGTCAAAGTTATGCTTATTTAATAAAATGATTAGGAAATTGTCCTTTTTTTTTGAATTCCCAAAGAGGATGTTAAATTACATTGGAATCATCTGCTTTTTTAAAATTTTGGAAAGGCTCCTTTAAGCTTTGATTAAAATGTCAGGGCCTATTGCTTTAAAGTAAAAAGATATTTGAGCTACCTGTTATTTTAGTTGATTTTATTTCTCTGATTATTCCCATTATTTCTTATATCATGCATTTTAACTCTCCATCCTCACTCCCCTTTTAAATTTATTTTCTAGAATGTTACTGAGGATTTCTTTAATGGTCAATTTTTTCATGAATGTTTCTCAGGTTCTTGAAAAGACAGAGTAGCCCACAGTTTGAATAGCAATCTGATAATACTCTAGTAGTTACAGTATTTAGGCGTTCTATATTTTTACTTATTCTTTTGTCTACTTGATATGTCATGAGCATAGAGATGAATTACAACCTTCATACTCATGTAGTCCTTTACAACATACAATCATACAGTAAACTGTGCACTGAATTCTGGCAGGGTGGAAGTTATTTTCCTGTGTGGTATAAACAATGAATTGGAATTGACCAATGGCCAAAAGGTCTTTTTTTTTTTTATTTATTTAAACTTTTTATTGTGATGCAGGTGAAAGTTTACAGAGTAAATTGGTTTTCCTTTCATCAGTATTCATACATATTTTTGTCATGGCAGTGATTACAATCCCCACAACGTAATGCACTTTTCCAACTTCCTCTGTGTGCTTACAATTTCCATTAGTCCTATTTTCTATTTCTTCTTGATTTTCAGGAGTCCTGATGTGGTGCTGTGGGATAATACAGCAGACTGCAAGTTCGGTTTGAACCATAAGATCAGCGGTTCAAATTCACCAGCTGCTCATTGGAAACCCTATTCAAGAACCTACTTGAAGGCACTTAACAACAATGGTTTGGATGAAAGTTGAGCCATAGGGATGAGGCAACAGGTTGTGCTTGACTGGACACAAGTACTCTCCAATGCAACTTTCAGTTTTTAAATTTTTGGTGGAAATATACATAGTAATACCATTAGCTCCCACTCCACAGTTTCTAACAGGATGGTTAATGATACTGGTTATATTCTTAACATATTGTGTCATTATTATTTGTTCTAGTTGTTTCACTTCCATTTACTTAATCTCCCATTCTCCCCACCCCAACCATTTCTGCTATCATAACTGTTGACCCTTTGGTCTTATAGATGATTATTATTTTTCTTTAAAGAACTGCAATACACAAAGGGTCACAACCTTTACTCTTTATGCTAAAACTGTTACGTGGTTTCAAGGTGACCTCAGGGAACAGGTTTTAATTCACGCTTTGATGAGCAATGCAGGGACTAATCTTGGGGGTTCCAACAGTTCAAGTAATTTTGGATTCTTTTATAGTTTAAAGTTCTGTTATTCATTTTCTCTCTCTTTCTATCAAGATTTATCATTGTGTTCCTGAAAAAGGTTAGTTAGACACCAAAATTTAGATTTGGAGTTAGGGGGATGCCTGTGGGCCCTGACAGCTTCTCAAGAGATAAGAGGTGAGTATTGGGAGAAAGATGAGGCTTTCTGCTCCCACGAAAGATTTTAAAAGCCTAGGAATCCCTATACAGGGTCGCTGTGGGTTGCAACGGACTCCATAGCATTTAACAACAACAACTGGGTTATCTAGTGCTGCTACAAACATAAATTTATTTTCTCACAATTTAGGAGGCTACATCTAAATTAAACATGGGCGAGATTTAAGGTATATACTAGGGAAAAATTCCTCTTCTTCTGTGAACCTGTTAAATCTCGACTACAAGTTGTCAACTTCCAAAGTATAATGGTGGAACAGGCACAAGGTAGATATTCTCATTACAAATAGGAGAAATCTGGGAGCAAGGGATTACAAACAGGCACCCTGCATGTCTAAAACCCAGAAGAACAATTTACATTAGCTTTCAATCCTAAGAATCCTTTCTTCTATGAGACCATCTAGGAAGCTGCCTGCTCTCCATACTCGGGGGGTTGGTCCTGCTCTCTGAATCTGATGTGGCAGCCCCTTTGTCTGGAGCTTCAGCTCTGCCTTCTAGACCCACTCTGCTATCTTGGTTTTGAGTGACCCCATTCTAGTCCAACTCTCTCCATCCTCAGCAGGCCCTGTTCTGCTGCCAAGTGGACAGGGCAGTCCCATTCCTCTCACCTTTAGGCAGCAGCCCTGTTCTCCTGGCACACCTTACGCAACCCCACACTTTGGAACTGAAATGAGCTGGTGAAGAGTCAACTCTTTAAACCCATGTGGCTGTGGCCCCATTCTCTGAGATCCAGGAGACTATGGCTCCACTCTTTGACACTGAGAAAGCTGTTTCCAGTGCTCCTTCCAGCAGTTCTGATTGCAAGCTGCTTCAGGGATGGTCCTTTTCTTTCTTGTAGGTGTTGTTAAGTGCTGTTGAGTTGGTTCCGACTCACAGAGACCCTGTATAGGATTTCCAAGGAGGGGCTGGTGGGTTTGAAAACACTGACCTGTGTTTAGCAGCCCAGTGCTTATCCGACAGCATTATACTAGGATTCCTTCCTTTTCTTAGAGGATAACAAATGTAGCTCCTTTGGCCTGTTTCTGCCTACAGAATTCCAAGAGGCAGTCTTTAGTTCTTTTTTTATCCCCTTTAGTCTAAGCTGATGGATTTTCTGCTGTGGTAGTTGGTTAGATCCATCAGTCACAGGTTTATTGTCTTTAACAAAAGTCATGTCCTTGGTGAAAATTTTAGGGCACATGTCCTTACTTTGTACAACAGAATTTTCCAAATCTTTAAGTTTTGTTTTCATTTTGCACTTCTTGCATTTTACTATAATTGGCAAGTAGAAGCCACATGCCTTAAGATTTTTGCTTAGAAATCTCAGTTAAATATCCAAGTTCGTGACTTCTAAATTTTATCTTTCACCAAACATTTGAACATAATTCATACAAGTTCTTTGCCATAGCATAAAAAGCACCGTCATTCTTCCACTGTCTAATCATATTCATCATGTTTTTTTTAAAGTCTCACCAGAAGCACATTTAATGACAATTCTAGCAACATTCGGTTGCTGGCACCATATGTAAAGTCTCAACTTTCTCTATAGCTCTCCTCACTTTCTTCTGAGCCCTTCCTCGAATTGCCTTTGATGCTCATAATTCCACCAACAGTTTCTTCAAGGTAATCTAGGCTTTTACTGTTGTTGTTGCTATTAAGTGCCATTGAGTCACTGCTGACTCATAGAGACTCTGTGTAAGGTTTCCAAGGAGCAGTTGGTGGGCTTGAACTACTGATCTGTGGTTAGCAATCCTCACAATGCAAGACCACAGTGCCACATCAGGACTCCAGGCTTTTACTATTAGGCACCTTAAAACTCTTGCGGCTTCTACTCATTACCCAATTCCAAAACCATTTCTACATTTTAGGTATCTGTTGGAGTAGCATCCCACTCTACTGGGACCAAATTCTTAGGTATCTAGCGCTGCTATAACAGAAATACTGTAAGTGGATGGCTTTAACAAACAGAAATTTATTTTCTCACAGTTTTGGAGGCTAGAAGTCCAAATTCAGGATGACAGCTCTAGAAGGCTTGTTCTGTAGGCTTTGAGAGGAAGTCCTTGCCCCTTTAGCTTCTGTTTCTTGGTTCTTTGAGCTCTCCACCTAGCTTAGTATTGATGGTTCCCCATCTCTGCTTTCCTGCCTTCCTTGTTCAACCTCTTTTATAGCTCAGAAGAGACTGACCTGATCCTACACTAATCTTGTCTCAAAGACATCACAAAGATAGCCCACTCCTAACTGGATTATAACCAACCACAGGCATGAAGGTTAGGATTTGTAACACACACATACATTTTACTTTTTATTGTGAATTGGGTGAATGTTTATAGAGCATATCAGTTTTCCAGTCAACAATTTATACACAATTTGTTCTATCTCATTGACTGCAAGCCCCACAATGCAACACCCTCGTGACGTAGTGGATTATCTACTGTCTCTTCTAGCCATAGTCTGTAACTTTCATCAAACAATGCTTCTGCCCTGCTGCACCTACGTAAGAAACTGGGAAAAGATACTGACAGGATGACATGATTTAGCTGTGGAAGTTAGCAGTTAATTGCAATTGTGAAAACTTGGAACTCTAAAGTGGGTTATAAATGAGCTATCTCAGAAACAAGATAAGGAATCTCATTACCATCAAAGAAGAGCCAAGAGTGGAGTGTCCTTTGGACTCTGAGATCCTTTCACATTGAACCCCTCGACCCAGGAACAGAAAGCTGGGACACCGGAGGAGTATCAGAGCAGCAGCAGCAGCAGCAGAACCAAGAACCAGAACAAGTGACAGAGCAGTGGGCTTCCCAGTCCACAGAGCAAGTAAAGGTGAGTGACTTTGGGCAGGAGGCTTGCTTGTAGAGTGGGGTGCCTCAGGCACTTAAGTGGGGGAGGCTAGGTTTGCTGACCCATGGAGCTAGAACTGAGTGTCTTCAGTCTGAGACTTCTGGTGGAGTGGTGTGGCCTGTGGGCATTTATCAGCAGCTGATTGGAACAACTATGTCCTGAGAATTTCGGACCACAAATTGTAACCTGTTAATTTCCCGAGTAAACCCATGACTCTGAGTATGGTGTATGAGTTCTGTGTAGCCATTGCAATGGGTCATCGAATCCGGTGGAGTAGAGAGGGTTATGGCAAGAATGGAGGGTGCCACGTAGTTTTGCAACCATTTATCCCACTTCTTTCCTGTGTTTTCTGTTTCCATTCTTCCATCTTTCCCAATCCTTCTGATATTTGTCCTTGGATATAGGCTTTCCTTTTGATCTCAGATGGTTGATTATTTTAGGGTATGTATACCTCCCTTGTGTCATTCTTCCTCTTATACACTGGTCTATTGTTTGGCTGAAAATTGAACTATGGGGGTTAGTTTATTTCCAGATCTGAAGGGTGACTAAAGGTCATAGTCTTGGGCATTCCACAAGTCTCTAGTCATCCAGTAAACCTGGTCTTATGATTTTGAGTTTTGTTCCACATTTTTCTGCCATTTCTATACAGATTTTTCTAATGTGTTTCCTTTCAGAGCAGTTGGTAGTGGTAGCCAGGCACCATTTAGTTCTTCTGATCTCAGGGCCATGGAGATTGGTGTTCGTGTAGTCTGTAAGTTCACTGTTTTCCCTGAGTCTTTGATTTTATATTACTCTTCTTTCCTCCAGACAGGAAGAGACCACCAGTAACTTACATGGCAGCTAACAATCTTTTAAGACCTCAGTCAATACTCACCGAAGTAGGGTTTAGAACATGATCTCTATGGACTATGTTATGCTAATTGACATTGGCATTCCCCAAGACAATGGTCCTGAGCTCCCAGGCCCAGTGACTCACATTCAATATGTTTGGTCATGTCTAATTATTTCTTATCTTTGCTGTCTGTATGCTTCTATCAATTCATGCATATAGAAGTAACAAATGTGAATACAAATGTACAATTATCCTCTGCCAAACTGATAGATATTGGTGAGTATACTCCCATTCTCCCTCCTACACCCAATTCAGCCTACAAGTCTATTCATGCAGCTACTCATACATCACCGTACAACATATATTTTTGCAGGACACCATCAAATTCATAACAACAGCTAATAAAATGGTAGTGCTTTATCATTTGAGCGTGTGGTGGCTCCAAAGGATAAGTACTAGGCTGCGAACCACAAGGTCAGCAATTCAAGCCCAACAGGGTTGCTGTGACCTGGAACTGACTCGACAGCACAGTATACCTTATCATTTGTTATTGTGTACACACACATGCATAATAATGAATACACACACACAATTCTTTTAGGATTCTCACTACTAGAGGTGATAGGCAGAGGTGGGTTCAGACATTCCAAGATCTTCCTGACCAAAGCACATCAAATCCCCACCCTTACTTTTAACTCTCTCTGTGAAAATAAAATTAGTAATATAAATCAACATTTACATAACTCAACAAAGAATATATAATATAATCTCCTAGAACCTATCTGAAACCCAGCAAGATTATCATGCTTGTATTATTTCTCCTTTGGAATAACAATCAAACTAAATTAAGATTTCAATTGTAAAACATACAAAATCCTGATTTCTTACCTTAGCACACTGCATGTGATTGCAGCCTTCATTCTTCTGTATTGGAGACTTACAGTTAGCACAAGGCTTGGAGTTAGTTAACAACCAGAGACAATTGGCAGCATCCTCATAAGCTTCACTAACTCCCACAACTTTGAGATATGAAGCACAAACACAAAAATAAATGGCTTAGTGTATATCCTCAGGGGACAAAAAACCCCAACTTTTCTTTGTACTTTGTCTGTCATTTTAGTCATGTACTTATTTTCCTATTAAGCTCTATGGCAACATTTTTAAATTGTTTCATTTTGAATAGCATAATTTTAAGGAACTACAGTCCCAAAGTCTTATTTATGAATCTTGGATTAAAAGAAATTTATCCCTAGCTAGGTGTACAAATAAACTGGGAACAAAAAACAACTGAAAATGTTTTTAAAAGCAATGTTACTCTTTGTGTAAAAATCACATTAAAGAAAATTATAGAAAAATGATTACTTTAGAAAATAACTTCTTAAATAGGTCAGTTACAACAAATGATGAAGCTCTTCATCAAATACAAAGATTGAAAATTGCACTGAAGTATCAATATCTTTTTAGTTCATGATTAGTTAGAATAAATTTAAGATTAGTCAAATGAGACTTTATTAAAACTAATCATTTAAGTTAAGTGCCACTGAGTCAGTTCTGACTCATAGTGACCTTGTGTAGGGTTTCCCAGGAGCAGCTGGTGGGTTTGAACCACCAACCTTATGGTTAGTAGTCCACTGCTTATCCTACAGTGCCACACCAGGACACCATATTTCCCAAAATTCTGCTATTCTTTGTCTTGGTAAATTATGTCATTTACCCAGAGTTACTCAAGAAAGCGTGTGATCTCAGATACCCTCCTCCCTTCCCAGTTCTTACTGCCTTGGCTCATCCACACCTCTTACCTAGACTATTAACACAGAGAAAGTCAATCCATCTCTCCAAATTTGTCCTTTCCATTCCCAGTATGTATTCTGCACAGTGACCTTTTAAAAATACTAATCTGCTTAAATCTTTTACTTTCTCTCCATTGGCTACAAGTTAAAAATTAAATTCATTTAGCAAAGTCTACAAACCATCCAGTCCACTACCATCGAGTTGATTCTGACTCATAACCACCCTGTATAGGGTTTCTAAGGTTGCAAATCTTTAAAGGAGCAGAAAGTCTCTTCTTTCTCCCATTGAGTGGCTGGAACCTTGTTGTTAGGGTTTAGTGCTTATCCCACACTGCCACCAGGACTCCTAAGCTCTCCATGATTTGGCCCTTTTCTAGCCTCAATCTTCTTCCATCCTCTATCCCCACACTAATGTTATATTCTTTGTTATCTTAAGCTCAATTTAATCTACTATAATATCAGAACTGCAATCTTAAAATGCCATGCTTTTAAAATATTCTAGATTTTACACTCTACTTATTAATGGAGAAAGGTCTGGAGAGAGTTCTAGATGCATAAATAAACAATCAATTTTTCTTGTGAGAATGGTGGTAATCAAATTAGTTTTGTTTTGTTTCTAACTCTAAATGTACTCTTCTTTTATTGAAAGAAATGTCAAAAACTACAACAGAATTACTCAGAGTGTTCCATCCAATTAAAGTCCTGATAGCATGCAGACGTTCTCAAAAGAGGGGGTAAGGAGCTAACTTCGGTTTCCAAAAAGCAGATAAATCAGATCCTCTGAGTTTTGAAGTTTCAAAGTCCTGTGGAGGCCAAATTATAGGACATTTGATGCAAGTAAAATGGGTGATCCAGGGCTAGTCTCCTGCTTTAGCTTCTGCTTCTTGTAAGCTGCTATCCTGTACATAGATTCATGCCCGTAACTAATGAATATTTGCCCTGTGGTTAGTCAAGACAGAAGGTGCCAGAAGGTCACCAGCATGTTCTATTAGGACTTTCTGATGCAGACTGCTATCACAGTCTAATGTGTAAGAGACTTTCAGGGAATGTGTAAATTGTACTCCAAAATGTGACTTATTGACCATGCAAAGGCTTTTGATTCACAACAAGCTATGGACAACATTGTGGAGAATGAGTATTCTGGAACACTTAATTGTGCTCATGAGAAACCAGTACAGAACAAGATACAGTCATTCTAACAGAACAAGGGGTAAGTGAATGGTTTAAAATTGGGAAAGGCGTGTGCCAGGGTTGTATTCTTTCACCATACTTATTCAATCTGTACGCTGAGCTAATAATCCGAGAAGCTGGATTATATGAAGAAGAATGTGGCATTAGGATTGGAGGAAGACTCATTAACAACCTGTGATATGCAAATTATACAACCTTGATTGCTGAAAGCAAAGAGGACTTAAAATACTTATTGATGAAGAGCACAGACCACGGCCTTTGGTATGTGCTGCATCTCAACGTAAAGAAAATAAAAATCCTCACCACTAGACCAATAAATAAAGAGCTTTGGAATCGTAGTGGTTACGAATTGGGCTGTGAACCTTAAGGTCAGCAGTTCGAAACTAGCAGCCACTTCGCGGGAGAAAGATGAGGCTTTCTACTCCCTTCAAGATTTACAGCCTTGGAAACCCTGTACAGGATCACTATGGGTTGGAATCAATTCGATGGCACTTAACAACAACAATAGACCAATAAATAACATCATGACAAATGGGGAAAAAGACTGAAGTCATCAAAGACTTCGTTTTGCTTGGATCCACCATCAACCCTCATGGAAGCAGCAGTCAAGAAATCAAGCAATGTATTGCACTGGGCACATCTGCCGCACAAGACATCTTTAAAGTGTTGAAGAGCAAAGATGTCAGTTTGAGGACTAAGGTATGCCTGATCCCAGCCATGGTATTTTTAATAACCTCATATGCAGGTGAAAGTTGGACAGTGAATAAGGAAGACTGTAGAAGAATTGATGCATTTGAGTTATAGTGTTGGAGAATGTTAAAAGTACCACAGACTGCCAAAAGAACAAACCAATCTGAGTTGGAAGAAGCACAGCCAGAAGGCTCCCTCGATGTCAGGACTGTCAGACTTCGTCTCTCATACTTCAGACATATTATCAGAAGGGACCAGTCCCTGAAGAAGGATACCATGTTTGATAAGGTGGAGGGCCAGAGAAAAAGTGGAAGACCCCAATGAGATGGACTGGCATAGTGGCAGCAATAATGGGTTCAAATGTAGCAATGATTGTGAGGTTGGCACAGGACAGGGCAGTGTTTTGTTCTGTTGTACACAGGGTTGCTTTGAGTTGGTACTGATTTGATGGCACCTAACAACAACAACAACAAAGTGGAGAGTCATCAAAAAAGAGGAATACCCCAATGATACAGACTGGCACAGTGGCAGCAATGGGTTCAAGCATAATGAGGACTGTGAGGTTAGAACAGGATCGGGCAGTGTTTTGTTCTGTTGCGCATAAGGTCACTATGAGTTGGAACCAACCTGACGTCGCTGTCATGTCACCTAATAATAGCAACCACTTCAAAATCTGGGGTGTTTAACATAACTAAAATGGCTTTCACAAGGTCTGACTAGAACTCAATTTGTCCTAAATTCTACTTCTGTTTCTGAGAAGGTGTCCCATGCCTGTTGGTAGGCAAACAAAGGAAGAGCAGCTTGCCCTCAATAAGAATGTGGTTGAAAGTAGATTAACCAGTATGCAAAAAGGCTGCTACACAAAGAATTTACCAGGGCATGTCCTCTTAGATGAATCCAGTCTATATCTATCCTTAAGAAACAGCTGCTCCTCAGATTCATGCTCTCCACATGCTGGAATTCTATGTTTCCCTATTTGGATGTTCATGTGCTTTTAATAAATCCTTTTGCTTTATTTTAACAGTTGGAGAGGGTTTTTTTTCTCCCTAAGACAAAAGTTTGAGTTGATTGGTCCTGAGGAGGTGGTGGCCAGCAGTAGAGGGGGATAGGGCTGTCTTAATATAAGAAACTTTGAATGTTCAAGATACTTAATCTGTATCAACAACAGATCAGTAGTTTGTGGAATTAACAGCAAAGAGAAACAACAGCAGCAGTAGACTGCTCATGTAGTTCTAAACTCACTCTGGAGAACATGGCTGGAAGAATGCTCAGATAGTTTAGTGTAGGAAGGGAGCTTCAGAAGGAAATTACTATCGTTTTGGCTATGTTATAGACTGAATTATTCTCTAAAAGAAAAAGTGAAGTCCTAATCCCTGGTACCTATGAAAGTGACCTCATTTGAAGTAGGGTCTTTGAAGATGTTAGCAGTTAAATTAATGTAAGGTAGTTCAGTTGTGGCGCTGTGGGTTAATGTGCTGGACTGTAGGTCAGTGTGAACTGCAAGGTCAGCAGTTCAAGCTCATCAGCTGCTCCTTGGAAACCTTATACAGGGTTGCTATGAGTCAGAACTGACTCGACAGCACTTAACAACAACAAATTCTGGACTAGGGTGCATCCTAATTCCATTGGAATGGTGTTCTTATGAAAGAGGAGCAGACACAGAAGGACAGAAGGAGAGACAAAGAACTTATATCATAGTTTCAAGTCAAGGTATACTTGGGACTACCAGAAACCCCAAGACAGGAAAGGATCTTCCCACAGAAATTTTAAACACCATTGTTCTGCCGACAACCAACTTCAAATTACTAGCCTTCAGAACTGTAAGAAAATAAATTTGTCTTTATAATCCATTCAGTTTGGTACTTTGTTATTAGCTGTTCTAGAAAACTAGTAAGAAAAATAAGGTCAAGCTACTAATTGTAAAAATAAATGACTTTTGTCACTCAGTTTGTGGAGCTAACACCATTTATAAAGCATATTGCCACAAAACAGTTACATTTGAAATTTTAATTTTTGTTTAAATGTAGTGGTCTTTCTCCTCCTTTCAGCATCAATGCTATTTTTAGCTCAGATGCTACCATATTCTTGTGACCTTTATTGTCCATTGTTTTAATAAATACAGCACACAGACATTAAAACAAAGCAGCTGTGTGGCCTGCAACATAGAAGGTTTTTCCCCCACCCCTGGAGAGAAAGCTTGTTCCTAAGTGCATTCTAATGGACTGTGTTGTCGTTCTACAAGATTGCATAAAGTAAATAGTGTTTGGGAAATAGCTATTCATACAATAAAACCCTGTTCTGCAAAATGCCTTCACTTTCAATTCTCTGAATGTTCTTATTTGATCTATCTGTCCCTTTGCACATAGTGCACTTAATCCCTTATCTCTCTTTAGTTTACCTGGTGAGTCTTCATCATCCCTACTGACTTCACACTCTTCCCTTCACTTCAGTATATGTTAATTATATATTCATTGTCTTTTCTTAAGAATTTAGTATGTTTAGGTCTTTTTAAGAAGTATTAACTTTATTTTATTTAATCAAGTGTTAGAATATAACAAAATCTAAGCGTTATTAGTCAACATATATGCAAGTGAAAACATAGTTCTTCTATAGACTACATTCTTAAAAAGACTATTTGAATTCCATTCAATGATCATTTATTTTACTATTAAGTACTACGAAAAAGTTGGTCTGAAAATTTTATAAATTTACCATCATTTTATGCAAAATACAATCATTACTGTTTCTTGTTTGGATTAGATACAATAAATGTCATTTCAGAGTTTAATAACATTATTTGACTCTATATGAAATTAATTATTGGAACAGATCTCAGCATATTTTCTAATTTCCTCTTTATATTTCATTTAGATGAATATTAAAATGAGCTTTATGTTCTATCTAGGCACACTAACTGAGGTGGCAGAAAAAAGCCACCTTGGAAAGGAGCAGGAATCTAGTCGAAGGTGAATTAAGTGGTTAAGGGCAGGAGTTTGAATTAGAGAATCCCAGGCTGCTCACCAATTAACTATAGGAAGATTTGAAGTAACAAGGCTTAACTGTGATTTGGTTTACCTTGTTTATCTTAGGCAGGAAAATAAGTCCTTTAGAAACATGGGGCCAGTCTATGATTCCCCCTTGTAAAAACTGTGATCTCCAAAAGGCTGTTGTTCAGAGGGGTCATATTATACAGGGCAGCTCGAGCATTAATTAACTTGAAAGCCTTTAAGTGAAGACTATAATGAATATGCGCACATTATCTTTTGAATTTCATTAGGAAATATGTAACATAGCTATGTATAATTTCTCTTACGTTCTTCTGGTTTCATTTCAGTTATTTTTTGTAGCCAGTTTTTCCATGTTTGGCAGTCACAAGGCTCATGTGCCTCACCAAGGCACTCCCTGTGGAGGAAAGCAGAAAGGAAGCAATTTAAAAATATTCTCTATTAATATCGAGGGGAAAAACGATAGGTGGTGGGCGGCACTCCTTCAAGTTTAAAGTGGAGAAAATTAAGGCACGGTGATTACTAAGAGATGAAGCATCTCAACAGAGGAACTGAAGATGTGATTCCAAAACTGCACTCCACCAGACTAGGTTTTTTTGTGTGTGTGTGTTTGTGTTTAAACAGTATATTCTTTGATATATTTTAAAAGTTCCAAATAGATTATCAGCATTTATAACATGGTTTTGCATGCTCTAAGAGTGGTAGATAAAACATTGTCAACTCATTTCTGCCCTCACTAACACTTTAAATTCTTGTGGCTCTTAGGGTGTTCTGGCTAGCAGAATCTGTCACCTTAGAGCTTGGGAGACATGGAGAACAAGCCCATTGAGAGGTTATCAAAACCTTCAGAAGGCTCTTCTGCAATTTGAAGTTTGAGAGGGACTGTTTAAGTCACATTCTTATGTTTTCACCTCTTAGGATGCCCAACTAACAGCTAGTACAAAACATTTATTTTCTTAAGAAAAAAAATTTTTTTTAAACTTGTGGTAAATACATAGGTGACAAACATTTTTAATTTCTGCAATCTTCATATTACAATTTACTTTTAAGATTTTTAATACATCTTGATTTTCTAATTCATTGAAATTTGACACACTGTATAAATTTATCATTTACAACTTAATTATATATTCTCTTCTACAGCTATATAAAATGCTAAACATTAAGGCTTAAAGCCATTATAAATTGCTTATTTTAATTCCATATGAAGGCAATCTGGAGCCATTATCATCATTGTTGTCATAATCATCATCATCATCATCATCATTTTAAACAAAAATATTATTTGCAAAGTTTACGTTTGTTAAAAAGACATGCTAAGTAACTCAAGCAGAGTCTTACAAACTAATAGGTAATATTTCACTGTGTTAAGAATGTCCCAATTACCTTGAAAGAATGATTTTGTTTCTTACATTTTTGACTTATCATCTAACTTGGCATTTAGAAAATCTTTTCCATAACGGTTTTTATAAAGTTCCTAGTAACTTAACAGACAGTCAGAAAATATTGGGTTATTTAAAATAGATGTAGATACATTAGAGTCAGTTTACTGTTTTTGTCTGGTACTTTCAAGTTGACTCTGACTCACAGTGGCCCAAAAAACGGACCCACAGAGTTTACTTGGCTGCAATCTCTATGGAAACTGATTGTCAAGTCTTGTTACCCTAGAGCTGCTGGATGAGTTTGAATCTCCAACCTCCCAGTTAACAGCTGAGCGCTTAACACCAGGGATCCGTAGATTTACTTTGTTGTTGTGTTGGGTCTGATTCACAGCGACCCGGTATATGGTTTCTGAGGCCTTTTAAATCTTTGTGGGAATAGAAAGATCATTTTTCTCCTGCAAAGCGGTGGTGGGCATGAACAGCAGACCTTGTGATTCCCAGTCCAGTGTTTATTGTATGGAACCTCTGCGCTCCCTAGATTTATAGACATAAGAAATCCATTTCTGCTTTCCCAAACTGTAAAGTATATATTTAATAACTGCTCATTTTAATTTGGCACACATACTAGAGTAAGAAATACACTCACTGACTACAAATCTAGGAACAGTGTTTCCATATGGTGTTAGAGAATACGTGTGGGAATACAAAATCTAGATTTCTTCTTAGGATTCATTAAAAGTCTCAAGACTCTAAAATAAAACAAATCAGTGAAACAAATTATTTTCACTAAGTTTCAGAGTTTCTTTCCATTCAAGATAACACAGCATATTGAATATTTTTTCTTCCCTAGAAAACTCAATACCAATATGACTGGCTCTGATGTCAAACATTTTCTGACAGAAAAAGAAAATAATCATGGGGCAAGGAATAAAAAATTGAGTGTTTTCAACCAGACTATGAAAAAAATACAAAGTTACTTATTCAAAAGGCCATTACTGTTTTTCAGTGTGCTTGGATGGTTCCCCAGAGCTGTGTTGCATTAGATAGCAAAAGAAGGGTTTCTTTTCCAGAATCTCACAGAAGGACACAGGTGCTGGCTTTATCAAGTGCTGGCCAATTGATAAGGTTATTTCTGGGTGTCATACCTGGTTAGCACAGTTTCTACTAGTGTCCAACCTAGCACTAAGAGGGATCTAAGAGGAGAAGCTTATAAATAAAGAAGATGCTAGAGTAAGGACTATAAATTAGAAAAAGAGTGAAAAGTTGTTTGTTAATATAGTTAAATATCTTTGAAAACTAAGGCATCTGGAAAAATAACTCAGGACTTCTCCAAAATGTTGCAATGCCGATACAACCAGACCTAGTAAACCAAAACATGAAATCTGATGCAGTTGAGTTGATTCTGACTCATAGGACTGACAAGGTTTTACAAAATCAGATCGCTGTATTTTCCTCCTGTGACTCGTGGCTTGTGGGTTCAAACTACCAACCTTTCGGTTAGCAACAATTAGTGCCTAATCACTGCACCAGGTAATATATAATGTAGGTGACAGACAATCTTGATTATGTAGCAGTAGGGACAGAAGTTACTGTGAAAAGAGTAAGGACAATACTGAAATATTTTGTGCATACTGGAAAACTAAATTCTTCAAGAAAATCTTAACCAAGAGACCAATGGTGGTGACAAGTACTCAGAAGGTCCTGGCACCTGTTGTTGAGAATACATCTTCAATAAATGAATGGGGGAGGAATTCTGGCAATTAGACAGGTGAAACTTAGCTAGAAACACCAATAGCTTGGGTTCTTTCAGAAAAAAAGTTCCCTAGTAAAAGATCAGAAAGAAAAAAAGCAAAAAAAAAAGGTTGTCTAATCTAAAATCCTTTTGTTGTTGGGTTGTGTGATGTCAGACTCAAGCAATCCTGGACAAGGTTTCCAAGGAGGGGCTGGTGACTGGTGGTTTGAACCAATGACCTGGTTAGCAGTCCAGTGCATATCCTACAGTGCCACACCAGGACTCCTAATCTAAAATCCATAATCCTGTCCAAATACAGACACTAGCTACTCCTTGGTAACCCTGTACAGGATCGCTATGGGTCAGATCTGACTCAATGGCACTTAACAACAAAGTGTTTTCATGGAGTCCTGGTGAGCATTGTGGGTTAATGTGCTGGACTGCAAAGTTGGCTTGCGCTGCAAGGTTAGTGGTTCACGCTCACCAGCTGATCCTTGGCAAACCTATACAGGGCTGCTGTGAGTCGGAACTGACTCGACGACACCTATCGACAACAACAGTGTCTTTATGGAGTCCTGGTGTGGTGCTGCGGGATAATGCACTGGAATGCAAGTCACTATGAGTTAGAACCGGCTCAATGGCACTTTCTACTCTGTTCCACTATGACCACATCTATACTATCTACATCTGCAAAGACCGTATTTACAAATAAAGTCACATTCTGGGGTTCCAGGAAGGACATGAATTGTGGGGCCACTCACTAGTCAATGTAGTACAAATGGGTATGTTATTTCTGCATACAATAATCATGACATTTTAACAAGGTCTTATGATCAAACTCTACCAAATAAATACTATTATGTTTCTAAGTCTGGGCCTTCGAAGAGCTCTGGAATGTTCTGTTAGTTGACAGGACTTTGATATTTAGGTCTGAGACTGATTTTGCAAGAAGAGAAGATGTGGTCTACAAGTAAGAATAACTGTATTTTGCTCAGACGGCTTTTGGAGAGCTTTGCCCTTGTCTATGGAGTCTGGAGGGAGATGGAGCATGGAATTACTGTCTTAACTCAATTAAGACACATGATCGTAACGGAGAGTGCTGTTAAGTGCTGTAGAGTCAGTTGGTAGGTTTGAACAGCTGACCTGGCAGTTAACAGTCCAGTGCTTATCTTACAGCACCATGCCAGGACCCCAAAAAAGGAATGTTATCATTGTTAAGTGTTGTTGAGTCAGTTTCCACTCATAGCGACCCTGTATAAGGTTTCTGGGCTTGCACTAGTGAGCTAGTGTGCACAGTCCTATCAGGGATGAAATTTTGTTTCAGTGGTGGCAGTGGTGGTTGTTGTTGGTTGTTAAATGCCTTTGAGTTAGTTCTGACTTACAGTGACCTTGTACAGGATTTCGAAGGAGCAGCTACTAGGTTTGAACTTCTGACCTTGTAGTGAGTAGTCTAGTGCTCATCTTACAGCACCACACCAGGGCTCTTTAGTGGGTGCTAATACTATTTTAATGCCTCTTTGCATAGTTTCAATAAATGCTCCATGGCTAGGTGGTATTTGAGGGTTTAAATAAAAACACATTGCTACTAGAGTTCTAGATCATACATTGCATAAGTTTATTCCAAACAAAACATGTTTAAACATGTCTCTGCAATCAGGTGATGGCTGCAGACAAGTACGCAGTAATACATTTGTCTAGGTCTTGTTAGGGTGCTTAAAAAAAAACTACTACTTTTTGTGCCATGAAAAAATTTTTGAGGTCAGGGCTAACATTCTAAAATAAACAAATTTGAAGTGGACATCTTCCCAAATCACTAAAGTTTTGCAACAGGTTTATGGGAATACTGCCCCAAATAAATGAACTGTTTTTAGATGGATCAAGTGTCTTAAGGCAGACCAAGAAGAACTCAGAAATGAACCAAGAGAGGGAAGACCATCAACGTCGAAGTGGTTGAAGTCCAGAAACGAGTGGAAGTTGACTGTAGAACTACCACTGATATGACAGCTACTGAAGGTGGGATTTCACATGGTTTGGCATTTTCAATTTTAAGGGAACAATTTGGCCTCAACAAGCTTTCAGCTGGAAGGGTACCAAAAAAGTTGTTTAAAGATCAGTTAGCTCAAAGAGTGGATCTTTCCATCAGTCTTCTAAGTAAGATTGAAGCTAATGAAGATAATTTTATGGAATAATTTTAATTGTAATTTCATAGTTTTAACAATGATCCAGAGAGCAAAATCCAAACAAAACAGTAGCTTTTAGAGGAAATATTATGCTAGTTAAATT